ATGTGGTATGAAAATAAATTTTGATATATGACGTTCATATGGTTCAAATATAAGATTATTAGCATTAGTAACTTGACATGTAATATCAACTAATTGTTGTGAATATGGTGGAAGAGTAATTTGTTGGACTAATAATGCCGGATAATTAATAGATGTGGGTTCCACGTATGGAATTGAAATTAATTGACCATATTGATCAGGAATAGTTAATTTTTTCTGGTCACCATAAAGGTGAACATGATTCGAATTTATCCAATCGTTACCTAAAAGAATTGATGTAATTAAATTTGTAGCAACATGAGCAGTAACATAAGTTTTGATAGATTTAATTTGTATTTCTAATTGTATTTGACCAATAATATTAAGGGGTGTTGAATTAGCAGTTTGACATAAACGAGTTTGGTATAAAAAATTTTGGTGATGAATAGTTTTGAGAAAATTTGAATGAATAATGGAGATGGCGGATCCTGTATCAACAATTGCTTCCGTTGGTTGATTGTTAACATGAATTTTAATGTAAACGGGAAATGATGTTATTGTTGATGGCTTTATAAATTTACTGGGAACACCGCCATCATGTGACCCAGCTATTGAAAATTTTGAGGCATTGTACAACTTCGGACATGATGGTTTTGACCACAATTAAAACATCCGGTTGTACGTTTATAGAAACAATCGATGGTCCGATGATTTGTTCGACCACAAACTTTACAGTTGTTGAACTGATGGTGTGATGTTAATCGAGTATTGGTTTTTTGATTCAATTTTGATGGTGATGAAAAATTCCAAATTTGTTTTGTATTAGGTGTTGTTGATGTTCGATTTTCTAATGTTGGAACCGAGTTCCGTCGAGACACGGAGCTCTGTGATTGTACTGAATGTGAAACAGAATTATTATTGTTCATTTTATTATAATATTGTTTTGGTGGATTAAGTGTGGCAGTTAATGATGGAATCGATGGATGGTTATAATTAAAATGACATTGTTGTGAATTAGATGATAATTGACCAAATGTATCATGTAAATCTTGTTCAATTTTTGCATATTTTAAAAATTCATTTAACGTATTGATAGATGATTCACGTCTTGATAATTCCTTCTTGAAATCAGGATTAATTCCACTCATCAAATATTGAATTATAATTTTTTCTGACATGTTTGAATCAATTTCCCGACATAAATTAATAATATCATCGAGATAAGATGTAATCGGTTCATCTGGTAATTGTTTGCGTTGTTTTAACGTATCAAATTTCCTGTGAGTTGATGTTGAAGAAAAATATCGATTTCGAAATGCAGTTTCGAAATCTGACCATTTTTTAAAATTAGCTTCATTATTGTCGAACCATATTCCTGCAGATTGTATTAATTTACCACGGACAATTTCTAAAATTTCATGATTGTCTGATTCATCCGTTGCTTTTGTTATATTTTTAATGCTTTTTAAGAACCGTTCGACATCCTCAGAAGGATGTCCAGAAAAATTTGGTAGATCATCGAATCGTGCTTTGCGAGCTTTTGCTAATAATGTTTGATCAGCCATTTTACGTGTATCTGCAGTTTGTGTTTCCATTTCAATTGAATCAGTATGTAAAAATGTATGAGATTTTGGATGTGTAATAATGGTGTATGGAAATAATTTACTATTATTTTTCTTGACTTGAAGCCTTGTTCCGGAAGCCGTTATGAGATTGTTATGTGTAAGAATAAGTATATATATATATATATAGCAAATAATTCAATAATCGGATAAAATTGAACGAAATTCTTTTTTTGTCTTTAGAATTTCTGACTATATTGGTTTATGTAATTGAGAAAAAAAAATAAGCGAAATTCGTTTTTCTTTAGAATTTCTGACGAGATTGATAAACGAAATTCTTTTTTTTTTTTTTTTTAGAATTTCTGATTGTATTGGTGTATATAATTGAAGACAATGAACAAAATTCTTTTTTCTTTGTTTTTTTTGTATAATTTTTAATTATAGTTTATTTATATAAAATAAAGTTACGAAATCCTATGTTAGGATGTCTACTTATATTAATCATTGCTTTTTTCTTTTTTCTTTTTTTTTTTTTGTGAAAGGAAAATTCTTTCTGAGAAATGCAATTCAATTTTATATATTTGAAAATATTAAAACGGTTTACTGAAAAGTATCCCTAATAGTTGAGTTAATATTTAATAAAAAAATTTATTCACCCGAGTCTACGTTTTGAGGCTCTTATACAATCAATTTCCGAGTCTCTTTTTTAAATTAGAGGCTCTTATGCAGTTAATCTCCGAGTCTCTTTTTTAAATTAGAGGCTCTTTAAGGTTGTGATGAATTGTTGTTGTTGTAAATATTCGTTTTTGTCCAGGGTCGCCAATTGTTAGCGGTTGTCCTTTTGGATCAACGCTAAGTTCGTTTTCTTTTCTTTTAAAAATTGTGTATACGTGTGCGTGTATGTGTACACTTGCACATGATCTTTTATTAGATTTTAAATAATGGAAAACACGTACATATATAGTGAGCGAGAGGAAAAAAGAGAGAAAAAAAGAAAAGAGAGGAAAAAAGAAAGAGAACAAAGACTAGATATATGGATAACAAAAGAAAAGACTAGATACATCACCGAGAAAGAAATGGAAAACGAAATAAAAAATAAAATAAAATAATTGAAATAGATGGCAGTTGTATCAGTGCGACATCACTGTAACAGTGTACCATCAGCTATATTATCTGATCAAGGTACTCATTTTAAAAATCAACTTATGGAATCTATGTCAAAATTAATTGGTTACAACCATATTTTTTCATGTGTTTACCATCCACAGTCTAATGGAATGGTTGAACGTTTCAATGCAACATTTGTTCCCCAAATTGCAAAACTTCAAGATCGTGAAAATAACAATTGGGACGAATTTTTATTACCAGTAGTATTCGCTTACAATACTGGAATTCATGCAACAACTGGTTATTCACCATTTCAATTGCAATATGGTCGCGATCCACGTTTACCTACAGATGAACCTCCAATATCGTTCACCTTCAACAAACCGCAAGATTATTATGAACAATTAAAAAAGAATCTATTGATAATGCAACGACAAACATGTGATAATGTCAATAGTCGACAACAACGGTACAAAAATCGTTATGATAAACAACGTGCAGATCCACATTATGAAATTAATGATTTAGTATTGATTAAAATTCATGGAACAAAAACAAAATTAGATCCAAAATATTCAATTACACCTAAAGTGATTATTAAAAAACAACATCCAATTTATTGGGTTAAAGACGATGATACGCAGGTCGAATCGAGAGTGCATGTCAATGATATTCGACCTATATTTATGTCCAAAACAATATAAAATATTAATGTTTATTTTCTGTTAGTGATCAATTAATGTTAATGTATATATTTTGTTATGATATAATGGTTGATGTTTGACTATGTTTGGCGTATGCGCAACGACTTTCATGGGACAACATTGATTCATTAATGTGTGTGGAAAAATTGATATTTTAATATGCGCGCATTAATTATCAATAGTTATTATCATTTCCATATGGGTAGCATTATCAAAAATTGATTATGACAAAAATTAACATCATATTATATATCAGGAAACTTCCCCTGAGGAATGTTTCTGCCTTGAGTATTCATTTAATAACTTAACGTGTAATGCACCTGAATTAGCAATGTGTTATTATTTTGGTTCTATTGTTCAATCATATGAAATAATTAAAACAGAAAGTCCAAATGATGATATTGTTACATTATATGATTTAACAAATTTATGTGAAACAGCTCATGACGACAATCTATGTACATTACCAGTTGCTACATTATGTTATAAAATGTCATATAATATTGTATTAAATTCTGATTATCAAACGTTTAAAAGAATCTGGTACAATATGTACATTATTTATACATTATTTAGATGAGCTTGATGCAGAAAAATTTTCCGAATATATGATGGTAGAATTACTTATTGATGATAATAGTAGTGAACTAAATTGGATATGTGGTGAATTACTATATTAAATTCAGAATTATCTCAAGATACCTTATCATTTAAAAATAAAAAAAAAAACAAACATCTGATGATATTGATCAAAAATCGAAAGCGATTGTACTATTCCTTTATCAAACAACACGAAATTGTACAAAATTATAGTTGATAGTAAAAATCGTTTAACATGTCATCAACGTTTATTATCTTCGTTTAGCATTTAATTGTTATAATGCTGAATTTAAATTTCAATTTAATGGATCAAAATAATAATAATATTGACTATATAAGATTATTATCATATATAATGGGTATAGTTGGTGATTGTTGTTTAATGTTATTACATGTAACATCGACAGAAGAAATTGAAAAATATTGTGGACAATATTAAATTATGCTTGATGTTAATTGTAAAATTCAAAATGTTATTGGTGAAATAGGAATAGATAAAAAAATTTTTTTTGAACATTTTTGGGTATTCGAATTAACATCAATTATTGAAATGATCATAATAAATAACATCTTCATAAACAAAAAAAAAAAGAAATAATAATAAAGAAGAACAAATTTCAACAACAACACCAACACTTGAACCATTAGAAAATAATTTAACTGCAACAATTTTTTTACGGCTTAAACAAACAATTATTGAAGAAGAATTATTAGAATGTCAACAACAAGTTGATGAATTATGTACACAAGTTGAAAAATTGAAACAATTAGAACAAAAAAATCTGGTGAAATTGATTTTCCATTATCATTTTCGTCCGCAATTCAATCAAATACATTTGAACAACTTCATTTAAATGCATATTTTGACTTACATTTTCATAAATTTATGATATTTGGTCCATGTCCACATACAAAAATTTACAACTTTGATGATACAATTTTTATATCATATGCAATAATTATTATATTTTTACCATCGAATTATACGGGTGGAAATTATCAATTTATTAATCAGACTTTAGAACCGATTTATCCAAGTGTTTTAATCAACATGAATCAAATAATTCGAAAACATTTATTATTGTTATATCAACTGATTGTGAACATGAAATTGAACCAATTGAAAAAGGATTTAAAGTTTATTAGTCTATCATCTCGTTTCAAAATCAAAATCTATTGACGAATTTATTTTTTCTTTGGAAAACAAATTCTCATTCAAAAAATCTTAAAACGATTTTTGAAATACAACAAGTTCAAAGAAATTTTTCTTTTTGAAAAAAATCTTAATAAAATGCCAACCAGATTAATTATTCCATTTCAACATTCACTTGATGATTCACCATATTTTTCTTATTTACTTCATGATAAATATCGAATAACATTCGAATTAATTAAATCAGCAATGAAATATTTTCCATCATTTTTAATTTATTCAGCGATTTTTTTTTCAAATGGAAAATTCATCTAATTCAATATTTATCATTCGAAATATTAACCTATTGAATTCAATAAATAAAATTACAATTGATTTAAATTCAGAACATCAACAAACAGTTTTAACAAATGAATTTCTCAGTGATCGTGATACTTATATTGATGCAGTTGAAGAAAATATTGCAATACAACAATTTTTCCTTAGTACTGATCTGTCCATTATCAACTCCATCGACGTCATCATTAACATCATTATCAACACTATTGTCAGATACAACAACACCAACACAAATAGTAAGAAAAAAGTTTTTGCTTGTTCTCATCTTGTCATCTTATATCTATTACTGTTATATTTTTTTTTTGTTCTTTGTTTTTTTTTGTTTGTATCTTTCCCCTGGTGATATTTTCTATTATTCTGTTACACATTTTTTTCTTTCAAAGTTTTTTGTTTTTTTTTCCCTTCTCTTGTTCACACCTTCCTATACACATAAACAAGCGAGCAAAAAGTATTTTGTGAACAAAAACTTTTTATGGTAAGGGGAAGGGTGTTAGGAACGACATCTTTCCCTATGTTTTTTTCTTTTGGTTGTCTTTCTTTTCTTCCCCTTTTTCTTCTTCTCTCTATTATATATGTACGTGTATAGCTATTATATGACGGACACTTCATTTTCTTAATAAATAGAAGAAAGGTCAACCTTTTGTTGAAACGAACTCTCAGTACAAAACTAAACTTAACACTTGCTGTTTATGGTAGTAAAAGAAAAGTGAATGCAACAACATCTTTCAATGATCTATCGCATCAGTTTGAAAGCAAAACGGCAAGTTTTACTTTCCAGCTAGCGAAATTTTGAATGAAAATCAGGTACGATCATTTTTTTGTCGACTGAAACGAGAAAAGCAGATAATCACTGCGCAACAGTCTCCAGCTGATAGCGTAATTATCAGAGACAGAAAAATACCAGTAATAACCATGATAATGAAGAAATTAGCTCAGAGATTGAAGAATTGGAATGAGACTTTCAAGATACTGAGACTGCTCTCGAAGAGAGTGAAGTATTAGAAAATTGTTGGATAAGTGCTAAGAAGGCACTGGAATCGTCTCTTCTAATGAATTCCACAGCTACAACTTGCTCTGCGACTTCAAAGAACAACAAATAAAATATAAAATGGACTTGGGTTTACCGAATTACGTCTATGTGATAATAAATAGATAGACACGGGTTTTCCGAACAATGCCTATCAATAAAAGTAATTCTGTTTGCATGAGTGCGGTTTTTCTGAGTCACACTCACAAGCAATATATATATAGGGATACGGGTTTCCCGAGTATGTCCTTCCTCTTCAAACAGGATGGACTCTACGCGCCGAAGAGAAGAAAAACGGAAAAGATTTTTCTTTACCGTGGTCAACAATCCTGTTTTTTTATCACGTAAATAGACAGCCATCTTTGTCATGCTAGAACTGCCCTAAAATATATATGAATACTAAAGGACATATAAATTATTTCTATCCCTTTTCATATATTGTTATGACGATCTAAGATTAATTATTCGATCTTGCCTATATAAAAGATAGTAAGCTTTGGTTCATTAGTTTATATAGAGCATATGTTCATTGAAATTATTTCTGCTTACATGAAACATATTTTAAATACTTCAAAATCTATTAAAAATTTACTTTTCATGAAGTAAAAGCATCTATATTAACTTTTTTCCTATAAATATTGTCTAGTTGATCAAACTTATGAGATGATTTTGACCTCTAGCGGAAACTTTTTTAAACTTTATTTACCATTTTGTAGAAGAGAAAAAGCTGTACAACATATCCAAAATTCAGCTTGGGATTAGGGGTGGACCAGTTAATTTAACGCGAGTTAATTAACGCCGTTAATTAACTAAAATCGTTAACCGTTAATATTAACGGTTAACGGTTTCCCTAGAAAAGTTAATTCGTTAATATAACGGTTAACGGTTTTAGTTAACGTTAATATTAACGTTAACTAAAACCGTTAACGGTTAATATTAACGTTAACGTATTAGTTAACCGTTAATATTAACGGTTAACGGTTTTCCTAAAAACGTTAATTCGTTAATATTAACGGTTAACGGTTTTAGTTAACGTTAATATTAACGTTAACTAAAACCGTTAACGGTTAATATTAACGTTAACGTATTAGTTAACCGTTAATATTAACGGTTAACGGTTTTCCTAAAAACGTTAATTCGTTAATATTAACGGTTAACGGTTTTAGTTAACGTTAATATTAACGTTAACGGTTTTTAGTTAACCGTTAATTCATTGTAAATTAACTCATTAACGTATAGACAAGAATCATATATCATTTAATTTCGAATTTTTAATGAAAAAATCGACGTTCATATAATAACTATTTTCATAGTGTAGATGAGGATGTAAGTGTGAATTACTCTGAAAAAAATAAAGGAGTGTTGCAGAACCTTTTGTGGTTCTGCAGCACATGCAGAACCATCTTATGGTTCAACAGTACCTGCAGAACCTTTTCATGGTTCTGTGTAAAACTACTGAACCGTAAAAAGTTCTACCCAATAATGTTGAACCAGAAAAAGTTCTGCGTAACAATGCTGAACCAATAAAGGTTCTGCTCCATAATGGTGAACCATGAAGGCTTCTCTCCCTAATCATAATGAACCATGAAAGGTTCCGTCCAATAATGCCGAGCCATAAAAAATTCTCCGTAATAATGTTGAACCAATAAGGTTCTGCCCGCTAATAGTGAATCATAAAGGTTCTGTGCCCATAAGTGCTGAAGTATCAAAGGTTCCGCCTGATAACATCGAACCATTAAATGTTTTGTCCATGACAGCCACTCATGAAGGGTTCTCTGCTCAATCATGCTGAACCATGTAAGGTTCTGTCCAATAATGCTGACTCATAAAAGGTTTTGCCAAATAATGCTGAACCATAAAAAGTTTTCCGACCAGATATAACAAACCATAGAAGTTTCTGCCAGTTGGGCATAACTCTTTATGGTTTCTTAGTCAAAATATGGAACTACAAAAGAGTTTGGTAGAAAATAAATGGTTCGGCATGGTACTTATTGGGAAAACTTTTTCTAAGAAGACTGTACGAAACTCGTTTTTTTAATATACTTTAGGATATTCGACACAACTGTTTTATCATATGTTTTCTCTTTCTTTCACTTTGCGATATGTTATTATACTCTAATTGGAAGATCTTTTGTCGACCATCAAGAATGTTTTCATTTACGTAGAATACACTGAACAGGACGTGTCGAACAAAACTTTTAAGGATTCATGGAGTTTTACTATACTTTTTGAGTATCATGCGAATATACAAACTCTCACTAAAGTTTCGTAATCTGATAGGTTTAGTACAAAAACTCTTCCAGGTTTTTGCAGCCGAAAAATTTTCCTAGTATGCCTTGGAGAGGTATACTACTGGAATATTCTCTTTTCGTGCCTCATTTATAATATAAACAGATGCCCACTAACCAAGAAGTCGATCGATGTGAACTCGTTTTTCCATTTCCCTATCTACCATTTACTTTCAAATCGAGTTTTGTTATCTCATTACTGTTTTCAGACATCGTATTTTTTTTATAGACAGACTGTTCTGCGAGCAATAGAAAACACTTCACTTGTGCCACAGTCAAAGTTTCGTTACTGAATCGTTGACATCTCAAAGATTTTGTCTAAAGAAACATAGTGCCTGCAGCTCAGCAGCTTTCTATGTTGATCTTTGATGAACCAATGTAGTTATGAGTTGAATTATAGCTGGTCGGATGTCTATTGTTTCTAGTCATTGATATGGCAAATTCCTGACTTTTGCTCGTCACACATAATGAATGCCACATAAATAGAATTATATTTCTGATATCTTTATTTTCGTGTCACCTCGCCTTTCTACCACTAGTTCTTGTTTAGGCTAGTACGACATTTGTTTATTTGTTCATTTGCGATTTAACATAGACAGACAAGATCGACATATAAGCATGCGTATAGACATAGAAGTATAAAAGTAGCTATGAGTGATAGACATAAACATAGTCCGATAGACATTAATACAAATAGGAGTTTAGCTATAGGGATAAGGGATAGTAAAAGGGTCAAGGGATAGATATAAGACTCAGGGTTAGTTATAGAGATAAAGGATAGATATAGGGGTAAGATATAGTTATAGGGATAATGCATAGATACAGGATTAGGGTTAGATATATGGACAAGGGATAGTTATAGGGATATGGCATAGATATAGGGATAGATATAAGATTAAAGGTTAGTTCTAGAGTTAAGGGTTAGATATAGGGTCAAGGAATAGTTATAGAGATAGGGGATAGATATGGGGTTAAGTGTCAGTTATAGGATTAGTGGTTAGATATAGGGGCAAGGAATAGCTACACTCTATAAAAAACGTTTACCCAAAAATCGACACTCCTTCGAAAACCATTTCGGAAACTCATCAACGTTTCTGGAAGGGTTTCCGGACTTATATCGAGTATCTGAAAACACTTTTTGGGTTTCCAAGCATCCAGAAACCAATAGGTTTTCTAGATTTTGGATTCAAAAACCCTCAATTGTACTCTCAGAAACCTTTGGGTATTTCCCTCACCGGAAAGGTTTCTTCGCAAACCACATTTGTTTCGAAAACCTTTTCGCAAATCCACTATGTATCCTCGCATACCTTTGGATTTTCGATATTTTTTTAACGAAAACCTTCTTGGGTTTTCGAGCATCGTAAACGTTAGAAGCGTTCCCTAGAAATTCAGCAAGGTTTCCGAACATAACTCTGAATCCTTTAGGGTTTCCGAATGTTCCGAAAAGCCTTGAGTTTCTGAAAAAAATCTCCGAAACCCATTAAGTATTATGCCAAGTCCAATTAGCATTCGAATATCATCATATGATCTTTTTCACTCTCACGTTCCATCGTGAGATTTTCAGGTTTCGAGCTGCTCGATATGCATGACATAAACCTTACTTAATTTGTGTGAAATTACTTTGTAAAAACAAAAGAGATCTGAGAAGTGTAAAAGAAGGCCTTGTTCCCGAGAGAATTCTGATCTGCTTTTATATTTAAAATCGCCCGAAATTTGGATGCCTAATGACAAATTTCAATGTGAAAATCGCAGAGCTGCGCTAAATTGGCTGGTCGCTATATACCTTCTAACGGTATCGTAGCTAAGAGGTCTCGTGCGGAACTTAGTTTTTTCCCTCGTTATATACAACGGACACATATTCACCAATATGAAACTCAAATCAATATTAAGCAGTTAGATTAAGGGGATAGAGTGAGAGAATAAATATAGATTAAGAAGTTAGATTAGGAGTTAGAAGAAGGGGATATATCCAGGGATTAGAGTGAGAGGATAGATATAGATTAAGAAGTTAGAATAAGGAGTTAGATAAGGTGTTAGATTAAAAGGTTAGATCAAGGGATTACACTCTAAGAAAAATCAGTTTTTTACCGAACCCTTCGGAAAGGTTTCGGAGATGTCGAAAGGTATCCAAAGATGTTCAAGGGCTTAAAAAACGATTTTTTAGGTGTACGAAACATTTAAAGGTTCTTCCCGTGTATCCGCGGGAAGAACCTTCTCTTGCGAAACCTTTTTTGGAGTTTCGTACAGCTAAAAAAGGTTTCTTAGGGACATACGAAACCTTTTTCAGCCGTACGGAACTCAAAAAAGGGTTTCGCAAGAGAAGATTCTTCCCGCGGATACACGGGAAGAACCTTTAAAGGTTTCGTACACCTAAAGAATCGTTTTTTAAGCCTTTGGACGTCTTGGGATACCTTTCGACATTTCCGGAACCTTTTTTGGAGGGTTCGGTGAAAAAACGATTCTTTTTAGAGTGTAGAATGAGAGGATAGATATATATTAAGAAGTTGGATTAGGGTTTAGAATAAGGAGTTAGATAAGGAGTTAGATTAATGGATTAGATCAAGGGATTAGAGTTAGAGGATAGATATAGATTAAGAAGTTAGATTAGGGGTTAAAGTAAGGAGTTAGATAAGGGTTAGATTAAGAGATGGAGTTAGAGGGGTTAGAATAAAGAGATAGAAATAGATTAATGATTTAGAGTGAGTGGTTAGGTTAAGGGATAGAATAAGGCTATTAGAATAAGGAGATACACTTAGATTAAGGATTCAGAGCAAGGGGTTAGAATAAGAGGTTTGATTTAGGGATAGAATAAGGTGACAGATATAAATTAAGAGGTTAGATTGGGAGTTAGAATATGGGGATAGAATAAGGATCCAGATTAGAGCTTAGAATAGGCGATTAGAAGAAGGCGACAGATATTGATTAGTGAATCGTTTTGTGGCTAGGTGTCGGAAACCTATCGAAGGTTTTCAAGACTTTGAAGACCTTCAATAGGTTTCGGAGATCATGAGCTTTTTCGATTGGTTTTGACGGTTTCTGAGAGCTCGAAAACCATTCTCGGAAGCCTATAAAGAGTTTCATATAGTGACAAACCCGGAAACCCTTTATAGGATTCGGAGAAAACCTTTTTTATTTATGCTCTATAGAGATAAGGGATAGGTTTGACTAATGCCACACCTTATCCGTAGGACTGAACCATTTTTATTAAAAAAAATAAATGATTTTGTTCATTTTTTGTGGAACCTCTTTTCAGTCAGAACCATTTTGATGATTTCTGGTAGTATCCAGCGTCAGAGGCGTCAAAAAGGTTCTAGGCAACTCGTTTTTTTTGAAAACAGGTCATATGTATGTTTTCCTGTAAGAATAGGAATTGTTAGGAATAGATTTTTTAAAGTTCTTCCCACGAGAGAAGGTCTCCATCTGATCCATGCCGTTTTCAATGATATTTTGTCTATATGTCGGGATCATTATTCCAAGAAAAATCTTAAGAGAGTTTGGGTTGATGGTGCTTCCTTCGGAGGCTATGGCCATTTTACTGATTTTTCGGCCTATGCCAAGATATTTACAAAAAAATTGGATGACGAAATTTTGACCTGAAATTTTGCCCATATGTAGGCCTCATGATCCTTAGTATATGCTAAAAGTTTTAGCGAAAAATGATGTTTCGTCCTCGAGATAATGGATGTCCAAGAAAACTCCATTTTTCTGAGCTCTCTGCGAAATGTGGGTATTTCTTACAAATTCATTATCTCGAGAAACAAACACCTGTTTTCACTCAAACTTGTAGCGCTTAATAAGGACCATGCGGTCTACATATGGGCAAAATATCAGGTCAAAATTTCGTTATCCGATTTTTTTGTAAATACCTTGCCATAGGCCGAAAAATCAGTAAAATGGCCATAACCTTCGAAAGAAGCACCAACAGCCCAACCCCCCTTAGGATTTTTCTTAGAATAATGATTCCAACACATGGACAAAATATCATTGAAAACGGCGTGGATCAATTGGGTACCTTCCCTCTCAAGTTATAATTCACATATGCTGACGTATATATGTCTTAATATAAGCTATAAGTGTAAATAACTAAAACTATGTCGTCGTCCAGGATTGATTTTATGCTGAGATTTGTCTTTGAAATCTTCATTTATATGCGAACTCGAATTAGGCAGCTACTCATATAATTTCGATGCCTACTTCACACTTACACCCTCATCTACACTATGAAAATAGTTATTGTATGAACGTCGAGTTTTTCATTAAAAATTCGAAATTAAATGATATATGATTCTTGTCTATACGTTAATGAGTTAATTTACAATGAATTAACGGTTAACTAAAAACCGTTAACGTTAATATTAACGTTAACTAAAACCGTTAACCGTTAATATTAACGAATTAACGTTTTTAGGAAAACCGTTAACCGTTAATATTAACGGTTAACTAATACGTTAACGTTAATATTAACCGTTAACGGTTTTAGTTAACGTTAATATTAACGTTAACTAAAACCGTTAACCGTTATATTAACGAATTAACTTTTCTAGGGAAACCGTTAACCGTTAATATTAACGGTTAACGATTTTAGTTAACGTTAATTTTAAATTAACGTAAACGTACCACCCCTACTTGGGATCTCATAAAATGGCTGAATGCCAGCTAATATACTGAAAACAGTTGACATATTTTTCATTGAAAAAAAATGGTGCTCGTCAACAGTATTTGATAAATAAAATAAGTTTAGTCCATTGAAAAACAATATGCAAATAGATAATTTTGTTCAGCTGTTGACACTCTATCTTTTGGTATATGACATAGAGAAATTTGTTAATCTTTTGTTATCGAAAAAATCTCAACTTTATATTTGTGATTTTCTATAGTTTTGTTCAATTAGGACCCTTATACCCTGAAAGGTCGACTAAGGCTAACTTTTCACGAGTTCAACCAAATGCGCTAAAAATTTGGATTTAGAGATTTTAGATAATGCTGAACAAACTAAAAACATTAAATCAAAAAAAATTCTTGACGAGTGCTTCGATTTTTTGATAGCCTCATGGACGTTCTCTTAAATAATAAAAATTCAATTGGATTTGTCGAACTGACATTATCATATGGAGACAAATTGCCATTATCAATACTATTACGTCTTTTAGCTGATGAAAAAAACAATTAAAATTCGAAGAGATTGATCGTATACTTGTTTATTTACTTGAAGAAAAAGATAAAATGTTAACATTATCTTCACGTACATTACCACGCTTACCTGTTCAATATACAACATCACACATTAATCATCAAACAGGTAGTTTTTACATTTACATTCTTTTTTTTTCTTTAAGCCTTCCGTCTCTCCTCCTTCGAAAAATGTCAATTTTCATCTACGTCTTGAAATGTTCTTTCAAACCAAAAACAAAAATTTAATACATAGAACAAAGGCTCACAAAATTGCCAAATGAGCTATTTATGAGCCTTGTTTGTTGAATATTTTCTGCAAACATTATAATATACGGCTGACATTTTTATTATAGCCTTTCCACTACAGTCCCAATATATCTTGAAACATTCATAGAACTTAAATATATCTGGATCAAAATCGTGTTTTGAAAAGGGAAGGAGCCTTAATCAAAATTTAATCAAAAATAGAAATTGAAATTATTCTCATTTCAAATTTCGTTCAAATAAATATATTCTTTTTGTTAAATGAATTAGAATTATTCGTCTTATTTGTTCTATTGAGAAATATTAAAATATAGATATTTTTCAGAATATTCATATTTCAATGAATTTCTTGTAAAACTTTTTTTAATCAATCCAGTGGAATCCACACAGATACATTTTAAATTAATTCGTACTTGAAATATAATATTCTTTTTTTTCTTTCAGATATAATACAACCAATCACTCATGAAAATGCATTTGATCCAGATTCAGCAATACGAATAATACCAGACGTGGACGTGGAAGTAGACTTTGATCGATGTGATATTAGTTACACAACAATAGGAACAACTTCATTATCATCATGTACATTTATTCTCGTGACTGGTAATGTGGACACAATTCAATTTGCATATCTATGGCATACGCCTTTAACAGATGATCCAGCTACACCGACAGCTGTATCACTGCTAGAATTTATACTCAAAAGAATTTCCAATGAAGTAACAGATTTGATTTTGTTAAAGCCACCAAAAAAAATGAAAACATTAGAATGTGAACAAATAAAAAATTTACAAATATTAACTGGTGGTAGTGTTGATTGTACTCCTGATCTACTTCGTGAAGCTTTCTTGATGTTAAACAATCAAAACGTCAATATTGAAATTGAACGGTGGTCAAAATGGTCACAATATTATTATTATTCATTGAAAAACAAAGTAACAATATTATCACCTGTTACATTTCTGATTTTCGATGAAGAAGAGAATGAAGGTAGGCATTTTTTTCTTACTACATTTCAGTTTTTATAAGGTGAAAAAGTCAACTTAATTTCAATTGTAAAAATAAACTTTACTTCATTTACAGAAAGTTCGACATATTCGTTGATGTTAATTAGATATTTACAAATATCTAATTGACATGGTCTAAATACGATATCAATACCTAGTTATCATCAAGTTAAAATCAAAGCATCTCTTCTAAACTAACAGCAGTTAGTTCTATCACTTGTCTATGTTCAAATTGAAAATAATAACATTATTTCAAGTTTAGTTAGAGTTGTTTGTGTTACTTTGATTTATTTGAATTGAAATCACAACATCATGTCTACACCAGTAGAACTGTATCTAATTAGCTTGTTTCAATCTAAATAAAAGAAAAAGATCAATTCGAGATTCATAAAAGTTTGCTTAATCAGTTTGTTTGATTATTTTTATATGAATAATACATTTTTCACGATTTCAACTACCGGGTGGGTCAAAAGTAAGGAAAAATAGAAAAAATTGAATATCCCCATTATGGCTTGAGCAAATGAACTAATTTTTTTGTCAATGATAGAAGCATGTTCAAGCTTTATATCCATAAAGACATGGCTAAAGAGACTCTTTATTAAGTATCACGATTGATCTTAAGAAAAAAATTTTACTTTTTCACAAATAGGAAATAAAATAATATAAAGGACGGTGCAAAAGTCACTTTATCAAAAACAAAATTGAATATCTCCATTACAGCTTAAGTAAATGAGCTGATTTGTTTATTAATGATAGAGGCATGTTCAAGCGTTATATCTATAAAGACACATCTAGAGAGATCCTTTCTTAAGTATATTATTTTATTTACTATTTGTGAAAAAGTAAAATTTTTTTCTTAAGATCAATCGTGATACTTAATAAAGAGTCTCTTTAGCCATGTCTTTATGGATATAAAGCTTGAACATGCTTCTATCATTGACAAAAAAATTAGTTCATTTGCTCAAGCCATAATGGGGATATTCAATTTTTTCTATTTTTCCTTACTTTTGACCCACCCGGTATTTAGTCGACGACAAAAGTTTTGCCCGCTGACTACATCGTTTATTTTACGCTTTATAAGGACATTAAAAAAAGATCATATTATTATCACATATACTGTTCTTAGATACTTCGTTACTCATATTCAGCTTTTTTATTTCTTTAAGTATTTTGTTTTAAATTGATTAAATACTAGAAACCATTAAAAAATTCGAAATTTGACACATGAAGAATGTTTATTTGCGGTGAAAGAAGCACAAAAGCCAAACAAGACGTTCAATACAATAGCACATTAACTGGATTGTGATCGTCGAACAGGGTGTCCTGCTATCGCTCGCTTCAATGTAACAGGATTATTGACTGAACAGGAAATACCAGGTCGATCACTTTCTCTTACCGGAGAAACAACAACAACAACGGTCATTGGACAAGTACAGCTCAAAAAATCCAACTGCAACTTCTAATCAACTTTCGAACTATATCTTTAATAAATTCGGCATTCGAGTATAAACCAAAGTCAAATCAACAGAAACTCAAGTCGAAAAACTTCATTTATTTACAGTAGAAATTCAAAGTAGTGACCTCAAAAAAATGGATTTTCATTGATGAGAAACAGTTCAATTGCGTAACACAGGTAAAATCGATTGGGTGAAACGTGGGGAACCAACGCCTACACATGAAATATCTTCTCTTCGTGCTCATGTCAACTTATGGGATGCAGTTTGGCGGAATGGCAAAACGTTCGCAAAACTGCTTTCATCGACTAATTTTTTAATGGTTTCTGGTATTTAATCAATTTAAAACAAAATACTTAAAGAAATACAAAAGCTGAATATGAGTAACGAATTATCTAAGAACAGTATATGTAATAATAACATCACCTTTTTCTAATGTCCTTATAAAGCGTAAAATAAACGATATAGTCAGCGGGCGAAACTTTTGTCGTCGACTAAATAATGTGAAAGTGCTTTTGAAAGATGTCGTTTGTGGTCGAATTGACTTTCATTTAATTTTAAAGTAATTTTTTTTCGTTGATTCTTCAAATTTTTTTTGTCTCTTGATTAGTTATCAGTCAATTGAATTCAAAACTGATCATCGTTCACACATTTTTGAAAGAAAGACAGACATCTTTCGAGGGTTTTTAAAAACTTAATATAATTTTCTGCTAGTCTTCTAAATAAAATTCATCAAAATCAACAAGCAAAAACCAATAAAGTAAGACCTCTAATTACTGCTGAATTACTGTAGAATTGTTTTCTCTGGCACTTTGTTTTTTATATGGAAACAATTAGTTCATCTCTTTCGATTTGACGTATTATGATAAACTTGTTGGAAAAAATCTTGATCGTGTTCACAGCGCATAGATTTTATCGTATTGATAAATGGTGGAACAGTCTTCTTTTAACTTGTTCGAAGAAACTTTTACCTATGATAGTCTTGATCTTACACATTTTCAACTTATGATTATATTGAGTTGATCGTTTTGATTTATCTATGATTTCATCATGAAATCATAGTCTGTAGTAAATGCAAAAATAAAAGAGAGTATAGTACATGTGGGCACTTTTACTAAATACTTGAATGTCGAAATTTTTCAGTGTCTTTCTGTTAGATGGAAAGCAGAAAAATCTTTATGAATTAAATGCGTTCATCTTTGTGCGATAAAGAAACGGTTATTATTAAGCAATCTTGGAAATATTAAATTCAACAAAAAAGATTGAGGCTTCATTAAATAGATTATCATTGATAAAAGGTGACATTGATTGATACTCTTTCTAAACCATGAAAATATCCAATTAAAAAGAACATCGTAGAAAAAAAAATTATTTCAGAAATTTTTTTATTTTCGAGTTTCTTTTGGATCATGTCCAGATCAATAACGTGCTAATTTATATCAATAGAAACTATTTTATTTTGTAAAACAGAAAATAAAGCTTTTGAAAAAGACAGATCTGATTTAGCAAGCATTAACCCTTTACCCCCCATTGGCAATTCGATTTGCCATTTTGGAGAACGATTGCAAAAAATAAAGGAAGCATGAAATTTGAAAATAATAAGAGTATTTTTTGTAGTGAACTTTATGAGCTATCGATTAGCAAAAAGAATTAGTTTTTTTCATCGCTCTGTCTTTGAAATATTGGGCCAACAAAATCGATAATTTTGAAAAAAATGAAAAAAACGAGTTTTTCGAAACAAATCGTTCTCTCCTTACAGTGAGTAAGGATCTTTCGAAATTTCTATGTGATATAAATTGATGAAAGTGTCTACTAATAAGTTAGATATGTTTCGAATGCATCGCGATAAGTTGGCCAATTGCACACACTAACACACATAACTGACCAAGGGACCATTATGAAGCATCTTTAGAACAATTAAGAGAAATAGTAATATACGTATTATAAACCTCAGCTCATGAGAAGTTAGAATAGTATCTATTTTGAATTAACCCTTTGAGTACGGGCGACGCGAATTCGCGTCCTGAGCTTTCGGGATCTAAATAACTTTAAAAAAGATGATCTGTTAATTATTTAATGAAATGAATTGTATGGAGATTTGTGTTTAGAATATTTGTGCGTTAAGATTATCTATACTTACTCATGATTATTGGTTGTTTCTCAATCCTCTGAGTACCCAGAACGATCAATCCGACAACTGAATCTCATCAGATCTTATCGAATCCTATTGAAATCCTGCTAACGAAACCACTAACGAATCCCTAGTGGCGAAATGCGATCGGATCCTCCAGGAGCCACTTGAAGTCCAATAAGATCCTACAGGAACCTCGTCAGAATCCAACAGCTGAAATCCCTATAAAATCCGACTGTTGGATTTAGTCGGATGTCCGCCAGACTCCAACGCTGGGAATCTGTTAATGGTTCCGTTACCCGGATTCCCATCGGATTTTATAGGACTCATCGGATCCATATCGAATTAATTTACCTGATCAGGGAATTATTCTTATGTAGTCAAAATTTTTACTATATAAAAATAATCCCGTACTCAAAGGGTTAAATGTTTTCAGAAGTTATAAAACGGGTCAAAGCAAGGTAGATGTCTATTTAAGAAAATGTGCTAAAAATATATGAATTCTTTCGACATTAATTTTTATCGGTTTATTCCCTCCGTTTTCTATTATTCCAATAACATGGTATAGATGTTACTTTTGTTCATTCAATAATGTGGTCAAAGAAAAACAAATCAACGCTTAATATGTTGTTCCATCCCCTCATTCCATCACACGGTTAACTGATCAATTAAATGGCCCTACACAAAGAGGTAGAGATTCGGTGAATCAGACCACATAATTGTCACACTAGGCACGCTAGTACTCTACAGTAATTGGATACTCAGTAAAATACTAAGTATTTCCGATTACTTGAGTACATTCTAATAGTATCAGTAAAGGACAAGTGGCGATAAGGCCATTTTCTCGCCCAAAAAATTTCTCGAAAAGAATTACATATTCTGAATCAGCATTAAATTCTGAGTAAAATGAGGTACTTTTTGCTGTCGAAAAACGACTTTCATTTTTCGCGGTTCATTGGACACCTGTAGAGGACCTCAGGACCATCGAAAAATTTTTTTTTCGAAACCGTATTGAATTTAACATCATCTGATGCGGAATTTAATGCTGATTCCAAATATCAAATTAAAATTTAAAAAAACCAGAATTTTGATATAAAAATATCCAATTTATTAATGGACGATGTGGGGAATATTTTCAGCTATTGGCCTCCTAGCCATCTATCAACGTCGTTGAGAAATTTGAAATACATTTAGTGATGTATAAAATCCATTTCTCAATTAGAAATACATAAAAAAAAGCTGTTTAAAGTCGAGTTTTGGTCAGTTATAGGGTCAAATATCCCCAAAACCAGGCTTTTGGGCCCCTAATCTCCCTATAGAAGGGTCAAAGAAATCTCTAACCAAAGAGTGATATATATGTATCGATGCAGTTTTTCATGCTCTTTCAGAATATGGCTTCAAAAATAAGGAAAAAAATGAAGAACATGGTCAAATAG